TTCAGGTTAGGTTAAGTTTAGGTTTGGGTCTCAAATTCTCAAGTCACTCGGGAGTTGGGATGATTTTAAGTTGGGCCAGGTTAAGGTCACCATTTTCTCGACTTCAACCAGATCCTTCTTGATCTAGTTCAAGTCAGGCTCTTGGGTCAGTTAGTTTTTGACATCTAATAGCCTTACTGCCATACAGGCCACTACTTCAATGACAAGGTAGCAACAAGTGAAACGACGACAACAAAACCAGAGAGAATGGAAACAATTTAAGATGCATTATGCAGACTTCAATAGGAAGCAAAGAAGACAGTGATATTCACTCAAACATGCACAACCCTGATCAACAACTTTCAGCTTTCCCAGACAGTTGGACAACTATAACAGCAATGATTGTGCAAATAATGTAGTACAACTTTTCCCAAAAACTGCATCTGGATCCAGTTCCAACAGTTAACAACCTGCTTCATGGAAATTGATGTCAATTCCCAATTTTCTAGTTCAACTTTTATTGACAAAAAGGGTTACACTTAATTATCGTCTATTTATTACAGTCAATACTTGTCAATCTTAACAAAATAGTTCTGTTTATGAAAATAAGCATATAAAAAAACGTAGGGAAAACAAATCAAGAGGGGCATCAAATTTTATGAAGGGAGTGAGATGCTATTTTATTGGCAATGTATATGCAAATGTGATACAGGATGAGCCATAAGAATCTATTAAAGTATTAATCACTCTACATGATTAAGAAAACTATTTCAAAAAATCATCAAGAGAGAGAAAATGCATCCTACCGACAACAGGAGTTGGCATATGAACTGCTGTAGGTGCCATTAATTATTGTCTCAGAGATCCAAGGATGCTTAGTGTATGGCTAAAACGTTGAGGTTGAATGGCAAATCAGCCACTGCTTATAAAAAGCCATCCAAGAAAAGTTTCAGCATCCCAGCATGTTCTGGAAAAGTGCATAAAAGAGCCAGCCAGATTGAATTAGTAGATAAATCTACTTGTACCATATCATCCCAAGTTATCGTCTACAACAATATTTTGAAATACAGAAATATATGGGATAATGTACCAACAAAACTCAATATGATTTTATTTTTCGGCACAAAATAAATTACACAGATTTCAGTGTTCTGAGTATTTTAAACACAATGCAGGCATTTAAAGCACTTGCCACAGTGTGATGAGAAAAGCCACATTCTAGTGAATTGTTATGCTCTTGAGTTAGTTTGTTCTCTACATGTAGCAGTACTCGCTGCATTTTCTGGAAATAGTGCATTAATGGGAAAACAATTGAACAAAACATATATTCCGAAAATACATAAGATAGTAAAGCTTATTTTTCTTCTCCGAAACCAGGTTTTAATGCAATCACTTGATATCAGTCATGGAACAAATTTGAAATAAAAAGATTCCCATGCACATTTATGTACACCGATTATCTTAGGTTTCCTGAGAAATATTGAGATAGAACTCATCTAAACCAACCATTTCCACTGATGGCTGATTCCAGAAACCTCACACACTAAGCAGCTTAAATTTTCAAGCTCATGCATTAGAGGCTTTTTCAACAATACCTAAATACCTACTAAAAACCCAAAACTTATTAAACATAATAAAAATAAATATATTGTAATAAGACCTTATCGGTAACACCCCAATAATTCTTTCTTTAAACCTGTAAATACCTTTAATAAAATCCAAAAGAATTACTGACGTGTTACCGCCACGTGTTCAAACGTTAAGGCTAATTTAGAACTTAGCAGCAGAAAAACCAACACAGTTATAAATAAGTTTCAAAACCAAACGAATATTTAAAGGTAATGTGTTAGTCTCATTAAACAACAATAATAAACCAAAAATCAATAGTAAACCCATATTCAAGATAAAACTAGAGTAGGATCCACTCTTCGCTCAAACCCCCAACATGAATATGCTGCAAAAGCTTCTCTTTAAATGCCCCTACTCTAATAAGCTCTTAAAGTAGCCGTATATACTAAAACACTTCCCGAACCAAGTATCCTACATAAAGGGACAATAACACTATATAAATTACCCTTGTGTACACAATTTCCAGCAACTTAAACTCACTTTAGACTACTTAAAATAATCTGAAATTTATTTTAAAATCCTTAATTGATCCCTCTTTTTATGGGTAGTCGAACCCTTTTATAAAAATCACAATACCACTACTTTAAATAAAATTCCAGGAATATTACTTTATTAAAAACCCTTAAAACATCATTGAAAATAAACTTTTACGCTTGATAAATCCATAGAATCACTAGATATACAAAAGCCTCAAATCAATTTATACAAGAACCCTAACAATCATGTCTTTTATAAAATTATATCCTTAACTTACAATTTGTTAAAATCTGAAAGTAAACCAAACTAATAAATCTGAAATTAATAACTTTCAACCATAGAACATTAATATAAACTTGCTTACTCATACTTTAGGATAATTAAAATAAATATTGACTAATATATGTAAATTTAGATAAACAATAGAGTAAAGAGGAGAGAGATAAAGCAAAGCCTTGTGGGAAGCATGGCTGGCCACGGATGGTGGTGGTCCGACGGGTGCGATCCGGAAGGTGGGGCGCCGGAGTTTGATAGTTGGGGATGCGTGATGACGTGGCGGAAATCCATGGAAACCCACGTACATTCATCTCACGAAGGAGGAAAGGAGGAATAAGGGGGAAAAGAAAAAAAGAAAAGAAAGGAGTAGTACTCCTACACTAGGATACATGGACACTTCATCTAACTGCCGTGTCCGTGTCGGACACTGTGTCAGACACCAACACTCGTGGGACACACGACGATACGTCTCGGATCGTATTCTATTATGATATGAACTGTTTAACTTTCTTTTAATAAGAAAATTTAAGTTAAGTAATAAATAAGGTAATTGTTAAATAATATGGGTGCCTTCATATATAGCTCATTGTTAATATGATACAATATGATCTAATGAGAGAACGGAATGACAAATATATGGTCAAGTTTTTTAAAAAAACTATATTATATGAATTTTAACATCCCGTACCCGTGTCCTTTATTTTGAGATAGATTCCCGTATCCGTGTCAGTACCCGTTCTTGTGCAACCTAGTTCCTACGTGAATCCAAAGAAAAGAAAGGAGGAAAGAAACAAAAGAAAGGAAAAAGAATAGAGAAAAGAGATAAATTTACCTCTTTGACTTTTGTGTGACAAATTTTGGGGATAAATGGAGTATTTACAGTGTAGAGTAGATTAGGATAGGTTTGGGCTTTATAAAGATTATTGACTTGAATAATAAAATAGTTGGCCCAAATAGAAAAATAGGATGATTGAGTTTATTATAAAGATGGGTTACATTCGGATAGAATATTTAATGATCCAAAAGTTAAAACTTGTTTTATTTATATCCAATAATTAAAATTATTTGACCCAAAATATACATAATAAATAATTTAATAATTTATAAAATACATAAAAATACGGGGTATTACATTATCCCCTTTATTAATCATACTCCATCATAATCCCTTGTGTTTTGGAACCTCATCACAAGCAAAAGAACAGGCACAGGCACGTGGGGCAATAGCAAGGTCTGGTATGCTTACCACAATACAGTGATCAATCCATTGAAAGCTTATGTGACTATCGATTCAAGTTGTTTTGCTTTACACATACTCAGTGTTGGCATAGATTAGCATCAATTGATAAGTGACTACTAATAGTGAGTGTACCAAAAATGAAAAATAGATGACAACATAAAAGAAAGAATGGACATACAATCAATCCTACAATTAGAGTAAGTTTAAACATGTAGAACTTAGATTCATTATCAGAAATGAATATTTTACTATACATAAACTAATTTGGCATACCTGGAAGACAAGAACGCCTCAATTGCACTTTTAGCCCCTGATGCCTTACTGGACCAAGAAACTAGTGTCAGTTCAGTAGAAATAGGTATTATACAGATTCACAAGTCAGTTATGTTAAGCTAATTGTCAGGAATTTGCAGCCTTTCACCTGCTGTAGTTAAGAGGTCAATTCTTACAACTTACTCAATGTTCATGTGGTAGAACATGGGAACCTTTGTTCATCCAAGTAAAGTGCAATTACTTTCTGGAGTGCTTTTATCAGGCTAAAGCTTTTTGCAATACTTTGTAAACCAAAACCTTCATGAGTTACAATACTGATGTTATCGATCAACAGCAAGTTTACACTATATCACTAAGACACTAAGAAACATGTAGGGGAAGACTTGTAGAACTCAGACATGGATGTATCTAATTGGTTCTCACAGTTTCATAGAGGAAACACTGAAGGCAATAATAGGCAACAATAATCAGTACTTTATATCCAAGCAACTCAGGAAAAACAGAAATGCAATAGGTGGAACAAAGTAAAGCAGTGCCCCCTGCCTTTCTTTAAACTGTAAATTTGCACTTCATATAACATCAGATGCAAAGGAGGTGATTAGGTGATGACCCAACTAAATCAAAGGATTGTAGCAGTGGCTACACCTACAGGTACATGCAAAATAATGGTTTTGAGCAAAAATCAATACATCGCCAGATCTGGAACATTGCCTCAGATCTATAGATACTCCATCAACCTAATCAGTCACATTTCCAGTTTCAGATGCAGCGCTTTTTTTTTGTATAATTATCCAACACAAACTATTGATAGCTCCTCATTCACTCTTAATAATCTTCTTCTTTATCAAGCAATTTACAAGATTCTCCTCACTAGATGAAAGGTGTTGTGTCACAAGTAAAAAGGAAAATACTTAGCCAATGACCATGTTACATAATTATTGTTATCCGATGACGCTGTGTTTTATATGGCAAAATAACATTTTCCAAGAAAGCTTTCTAATCAATGGTAGATGGCCTTAAAGAGCACAATATTTTTTTAATTTGAGGCCAAAACAGGCTTGAGTTGAAACAAAGGAAATCAAGAAATTTCTGAATCAAAAAACTGAAAGGAGTAGCGAAAAGAAAGTAGTAAAGCGAGTATCAAATCCACAACTTTATTGCACTTATAGAGTTTTATAACTTCATTGACATCCATCTCACCAACTGAGCCAGGCATACCTTGTGCATATGACAGATATGAACATATAATATTTTAACACTTATCCACTCCACGGCCTCCCAAAGTATGTGAACTTGCTGCATGCCATACAATGCGTTAAAGACATCAGTCCTGGAAAAGAATGTAGCAGGAAGCCAGGAAGGCTGCCAATAAGAATTCCAGCAACCATTGCAGCAATCACCGGGCTTCATGATTTTATCCGTAGTACACCATGCTTAATTTCCAGGAATCCAGCAAAGAGAGACACAGGCTAGTCAGCTTGCAGTAGCCACTGAGACTAGAGTCTCATGAGATAGTAAATCAATTTGATAGGCAGCATTCAACAATTAAAGATTGCTTCACAATACATGGAGTCACACTGCAATCTCATCTGAATTTAAACAGACGCTGTTCTTTCTCATCATCTCTATATTTTCTGCAATTGTAGACCCAGCTGTCCCAACAAATCCCAGGGAAGCACAGCTACAAACAGTCTCCTCCACGTAAAGAAGAACATCAAGTGGCCGACGAGAGCAATGGCTAACCTTAGTGCTATCGAATGCGGCTGCAATTTTACTTGCAGTTCTTTTCACAACCACCTCTTCGTCACTCAAGACATGAAGTTTGAATGAGTTTGCATTGCTGGCCAAGTCTCCCAGGTAGCAGCTGCTCCAATTACTTCTGGGAAGATCGGTCATCACAAAGATATGAATAGGGAGAGAGCCCTTCTGTTTTAAAGCTTCAACCTTCTGCTTAAGAACTGAAAAGGTTCCCTTCCAATGATTCTTAAATTGCCCATCTAACAACCTTAGTTGTGCACAAAGAAACGGTTTTCTGATGTTCTTTTGGACAAACTCCTTTCCTGCATTAATGATTTCTGGAGCAAATGGCATAAAATCAATCATACCAAGCAAGGATTGAATTTTATGGTCTCTTGGAGATTCTTTAATGTCAATGTAGAGCTGTGAGCCTCTATATGGAGCAGAGAATAAACTTCCAAACGCTAGCACAGTTGAAGAATAAACTTCAGAACCAGGTCCAAGACTTTTATACACATCTCGTCGATGCCTGACGTATGAAATTTTCTTTTTTATTTTGAGTTGTTCATCAGGCTGAAAGGAATCCAAACCCCCATCTGAATCATTCTCTTGATATGTCCAGACTGTAGTTCTGCAATCTACATCAATAGCATGCAAACACGTATCTACATTACCATGATATCCAGATAGAAATGACCCACATTTCTTCAGATCACTCATCAAAGATGTCTGGACATTGGGGTCATCTGAGCAAAGAGAATCTAAGCCCACACCACACCACATTGATATGAAATGTCTGAAATCTATTGTCTTAACCACAGTAGATACTGAAGAAAGATCAATGATCTCTGCCATGGATACATACCTGCAGGTGTACATGACAAAATTAATTTTGATCTAAAAAAAATAAGAAAGGAGAATTAATCTGCAACAGAAATAACTACAAATCCAGCTATGAAATCTGGCTTATTCCAGATAAATGACAGAATTTCATTTTGTTGCAAGCAATTGTTCCCTATTACAGAATACCAAAACAGTAAAAAATTGAAACAATTGTTCTTATCAAAAACATGTGAAAGTAATATTCATAGTCATAGTTAATGTAGAAAAGGCAATAGATCTATCAGTACTTAGAAAATCCATCAAGCAGATTAGATGACAAGGCATGAGAATTCCACTAGCATGAACATACCCTTTAACATTTTGTGTCCTAGTGTCTTTAAAAAACACCAAAGCAGTGATTGACTTAGTACTTTCAGCAGAGCAACCCGGAAAATTCAGATTTCTCCATCTTGAACGTGAACATAAACTAGAGAAGAAAAGCTGTAATAGTAATTGCTTTGCCCAATCATGCAGCACAACATAGATCCCTTTTAATGCAACAGTAAGCATAGAGATTATACTTACACATCAGTCTATACCTAAACTCCAAATGTTTGATAGGCAGCTAAGCAGGTCTGACAAAGTGAAGCAACTCCTTTGAGCATAATATGCATCACGGAGGACATGGGCACAAAAAAGGCATCTAGGTCCAAGTCTTCAGTACAATACTACGGAGGTTGTAAATATTTTCACTTATTCTTGAAGCCAGAAAAGGTTATCGCATACAAAGAGAGTGACCCGGTAATCCTGTTAACAAGGAAGATTTTTTGTGCTCTCCTATTGCTCTTACCTATCAACTATACATGGAAAGATAAAGTTTTACTGATGATCATGTCATGCATTTCACTATTGAAGATACTGGCAGTCATTTGCTTTCTACACAATGAACTAGTTGCCTTCTCATAGAGTTATGTTTTATATAGGATTAGAGTGGGCTTGTCTTTCTATTTACTCACAAAAGGCAAATGGAAAGGGAAAATTTTGAGGCTTCATTACTTCCATAGCTTTTCCCTTGAATGTCCTAATCAGATAAACAAAGTGTGTGAATTTTATCTCATAGTATCAAATATCCTTTTATCATTTATAGGATTTCTTTATCCTCCCTCTCAATAAATCTTCCTGCTTTCAATAACTTACTCTATAGAGAAAAACAATCAGGTAAGATGTTCTAGCTCTAAGCTTCCATTCCTTGTTTATCATTTTGTCATGTTCTAATCAATCAAAACAAGAATTTTCCTGGGGTAGAACCGTATTTGAGTAGCCAATTGTGCTTTGTGCAGGTAAAGTCAAGACTGGGTTATCAATCCAAAGCCAATGAAAGATATTCTGAATCCAGATTTATCCCATTTAGATCCAAAGTATTCCAATCCTATACTCTGTACTTAATTTAAGACCTAAAGACTTCAATAAAGATAAAGCCACTTTTTTGGCCTTTTTCCATTACAATTACTTTTAAAAAGAGTCAAAATTTTATGCAAGAAAATTTGATGGTAATAGAGACACCATAAGCAGAGTATTAATAATATTAAGGATTCTCCAATCAATTGTTTGGAAAGAGTAGATCAGGGAACCGTTTACAGAAAAAACTTTCCAAAAAAACTATTTAAGGTTTGGACATGGGGTACGATAATAGGATTGCCAAGTTTAAGCCTAAAAAAAAACAGTGAATAGCTTTTTTGACTGTTATAGATCAGATCTTGATCTAATCCATATAGATATAACTCGGATTAAATCTATAAAGCCAAAATAAGTAAACTCTGGAAAGTATATAACCTAACTTGCATAGGTTCAGTAATTTTTAACAAAATGTCCTTTAGTCTCCCCTGCATAGGTTTCATTTGGTAGGTATCAGAGAAAGAAGTGAGCATCATTTTTATTAAGAAAATAGAGATGGCAGTAGTCCATTTATATGAGAGGCAGGAAGGAAGCAATTCTAAGATAATTTTATGTAGGCCTAAACGCTTATTATCCCAACGAAAGTGTGCAATGTTGGTCAAATTTGGGTAATTTGGTTTTGGGCATAAAATTTCATCATCCAAGTGGAAAAGTTACTTAGGCTCATTTGGTTCAGTTTTCCCCAGATCTCTACACCAACTCATGTCTCTCATATCAATCGCTCAAAGATGGCTATAAATTACAACACACGGGCAATTTTCTCCCATCAATGAAATTCAATTAAGGATCTTATAAAGGTGCTAATAACTAAAGAGAAGAAATCTACATATAGAATTTTAAGGGAAGTCCTTTGCCAATTTGTTCATCCTAAATTATTTCCTTTTCTTCATATTGTTCATTACCATCAATTAGCAATTGGAGGTGTTTTTGGATGGTAATGGAAATTTATATGAAAAAACCACAAGTTTTGGCATGAGGTCCATTAACATGGACATTTAAACAATAAATTCCCCGCAAAGTTACACTTGATTCATTCTCATAACCATCATCCATTACCATCTTCCAAACATGGTTCAATTAAGACATTCCTAATGCCATAATTCTGCGACAGCCTATAATTGGAGACCGACAAACCGGAATCATCCATAAGCCTCTAATAAAACAAGTCAAGGCTAGTGATTCATGAATTTGCGGCAAATAAATCAACTTATGCATCATTAAACTACAGAAACCCCTAAAAATCATCCATTCTGCCTAATTTTATTGATATTTACAATGAACAAGTTAAAAACGCAACCAAATAAAACTTTTGAAATCACATTCATTGAATTTCATTTGTAAACTCGAAAACTACAAGAACAAATCACATTCAAATCCAACATCAGAATCAGTAACAAAAATCAATGTAACTAACCTTCCTCCCTTAATCAAATCAATAACATGATCCCAAACCTCAACCCGAAGCTCCTTTGGTTCCAAAACCCTAAACTTAGGACAACTACCAAGAACAACAGCATGATGATCCAAAACAGGAGGAACAATCAAAGTCCGATTAAGAATCGCCGCCATTAAAACAGCGTTTTTGAACTCGGATAGCTGATTATTGAATCCGCTGTGTGGGGCATACCATAAGAATTTCTCGACGCTTTTAGCAACGCATTGTGGGAATTGAGAGGAGAGAGATTTCGAGGAGAGTGGAAGAATGAAAGTGGAGATCTCTTGGTAGAAGATGAAGAAGATGAGAGAGAGAATGAGAAGAGAGAAAATTAGGATTGAGCGTTTCGACGCTTTTTTGTTCTTCCACCGTTGCCTTCCGACGCCGGTCATTGATTCACGGCGGCGTTTGAGGTGTCGGATTCGGTTTTCTTCTAATTTTTGTGTGAGTCGTGTAGTGTAGCAGGAATTTACACTCTAGCAGGGGTGATCATTTGGCGGGCCGGGCCTTATTCGGGTTGGGCATAAGCCTAATAACCCATTAATTCAAGCTGGGTCAAGATTTGGGCCGAACATGCTTATACAAATTTGTAAATTTTGACCGGACCTAGCAGGGTTTTTGGGAGAAAAAAAAACAATTAAAAATGTGTAGAATGTTTGTCCAAGGCCTGCCTAAAAAAATAAAATTCGGATCGAATTTTTATGTCCATGGCCCCGCCTCGGGTGTGGCCCATCTTGCTCAGGTATGCACTCTAGGATAGTAGCATTTGTGTGTTTAATGCTTCCTTCGGATTTAAATAAATGCTCTAATTCTCTTGACACGGAGTTTTAGAATGAATAGAGAAAAACATTGATTATTATTGAAGTTGGGTTGGTTGTAGAATAGGAAAAAAAAAATTGAAAAAGCAAAAGTGGGTAGCTTTTGGTAGGTTGTCAAATCACTATTCAAATCACTATTACTACCTCCGTTTCGTATTATCTGCAACATTTTCCAAAAACGGATGTTACACATTATCCGAAACAAACCAAAAGTTTCCTCTTTAGTAAATTTTTTGTGTAATATTACTAGAGGTGATCAACAATGGCCCGAACCGCTAGCCCGGCTCGATCCGACCCGAAAATAGGGCGGGTTTAGACAAGCTAAAAATCTTTTTTTAGTTAAAAGCCCGAACCCGACCTGAAAAAGCCCGTTTTAGCCCGACAAGCCCGCCACTTTTGGACGGGTTTGGGCATGACATTTGATGTTAAGGCCTGGCCCGGCCCGAATTTATGATCACCTCTAAATATTACCAACACATCCCTACTTAATTTCAATAAACCACCTATTAACATATTAACCAAATTAATTTATCCATAATTAAAACCCCAACCCATATTCTCTCTCCTCCCTCACAACCCACATCCACCACCTATATCACCAACTTTTCTCTCTCCTCCCTCTCAACCACCAGCAAGAACACTTTTCTCCCTCTTCTCTCTTCTCTCACAACCACCACCAGTCCCTCACACACAATTATACTACCAATCGCAATTTTGGTGGGGTGGAATTCGATGATTTTTTAACAAGGAGTGAGGTGTTTGTGGTGGCGCATTTCAGATCTTAGTGCGTGGTGGTGAGGTGGGGTTTCGATTCTTGGTGGTGGTGAGGTGGGGTTTCAATTTGTTGGTGGTGGTGAGGTAAGCCAGGTTTCAAATCTTAGGGGTGGTGAGTTGGGGTTTCAGTTTGTTGGAGGTGTAAGCAGTGCCGGGGCTAAAATTGCAAATTATTTATGGGGCCCTGTTCAACTTTTTAAAATGGGGCCTTCTACTCGATAAATTTAATACACAATTTTTATTTGATAAAAAAATTCGTTACATCAGAAAATTCGTCAAAATTAAATTTTAAATTCTAGAAATCACTTAAGAAGAGTAGCTCTGTTTGCATGTTTTGTAGCAAAATCATCGATTACATTCTCTATATCAACTTCATCTAAAAGATCAGATTCAATTGCCATCAAAGCGAGTCCATTTAATCTTTCGTGTGACATGGTCGTCCTTAAGTACGATTTTAGCAACTTTTACTTTGAAAAACTCCGTTCTGCAGAAGCAACAGTTACAGGAATTGTTAATAATATTCTTTATGCAATTGTTGCATTTGGGAAGCAAGTATATCGTTTTAAAAAATTTAATAAATCAATTTCTCCCATTTTCTCCTTGGGTAAAAAACTCTCTAAACCATGTTAACTCAACAAATAAATCCTCTCCATTAACATCAGAAACCTCACCTTTCTTAAGAGCATTTTCAAAATTAAAACAACAAGATAAAAGTTTCTCATCATCCATTGAATGCAATTTATCAGAATTGAACAAAAAGCCAAAGATATTCTCATACGATTCATATTGTTCAAACCTTTTTTCCAATGATGCAATAGTTTGATCCACAATGTATATAAAATATTGGATTCTAAAAGATTCCTCGGGAGATAATAGTGTTTCATCACCATCTATTTCATCAAATTGTCTTTTTCTACGTATTATACGTCTTTCAGGAAATATAGGATCGATTCCAATTTCAATAGCTATTTTTTTTGCAATATCCATGGCCTTTGAAAAACCATTCTCTCTATATTTTTTAAAAAAGGAAATCAGTCCTTTAATCTCACTAATGGCAATATCAATCAGCATATCCTGGGGTTGTAATTGTTTACTAACAAAGTTTACATCACATAAAATTTCATACTAAATGATTGTAGCAAGCAAAAATTCAAAACTACCAAGCTCATTATTTGCTAAAGATCTAGCTTCACTTTGAAGTTTATGGTCATTGTCAGCATCAGCTACTTCAGCTACTTCAAGTAATGCTTCACGTATCTCAGTTATTTGAAATCTAATTGCTTTGATACTTTCAACACGACTTTCCCATCGAGTGGCAGATAATGATTTAAGAGTTAAACCTTTAACATTTTCTTTTAAATATGCCATCTCTTGGTAGAACTAACAAATATAGTATAAATGCGTTGGACTATTCCAAAGAATTCCCTTGCTTTAGGTGAATGATTTGCAATGTCACACAAAACTAAATTAAGACTATGACAACCACATGGAGAATAAAAAGCTCTAGGATTCAAATCCAATAGTCTCTTTTGCACACCTTGATGTTTACCTTTCATGTTAGAACCATTATCATATCCTTGTCCCCTGATATTATTTATGTCAAGATCATGAGCTATTAACACATTTTCTAACACTTTAAACAGTCCTAAACCAGTAGTATCATTAACTTGTAAGAACTTAATGAAAAATTCTTTAACTTTATAAGAATTTGAACATTTATCAACACACCTTAAAATTAAAGTCATTTGTTCTTGATGACTAGCATCAGGTGTACAATCCAACATCACAAAAAAATATTTTGCTTCTTTTATTTTTTTCATAATAGCATCACTGATTTTAGAAGCAAGTAAAAGTACCAATTCATTCTGAATATCATGGCTAAGATAATGATGATGAATAATTCCATTCTCAATACGATGAACATGCTCAATAATCACAGGATCAAACTCAGCCAACATTTCTATCAAACCTAAAAAATTTCCATTGCTAATTTGATACAACGTTTCGTGTTTCCCACGAAATGCAAGGTTATTTTTACCAAGAAACTTCACAATAGCAATTATTCTAATAATGACACTTTTCCAATACTCTTTTTCTTTTTGAAATTGGTCTTGGGCAACTTTGTCTATTGTTTCATTATTTTTCAATTTATTTCTTAGTTCACACCAAGCAGCCATGTTCAAAACGTGATCAACACTTGTTTCATGTTCTTTAAGTCTATGACTAATATGTGACCAATCATTATATCCTTCATTAACCAAATTGCCTTTTCCATGACCCTTTTGGAAGATTTTACAGCAAAAACAAAATACTTTGTCAATTTCTTTACAATAGACAAGCCAATCTCTATCACATGTTTCACCATTAGGCAAATATCTAGTATACAAATTTGAAGTAAATCTCCTAGATACTTTGTCTTTAGGGCCTTTCACTATGATTAAGTCTCTTTTAGGGCCATTGATAGCCAAAATATCAATCGACTTTTGATCAAGAGCTCCCCATATCCTTGGATCATATATATCATGAGAAACAAAATCATTTTCTTCAACATTGTGAATATTATGGTCTAAATTTTCTTCCACATTTTGTTCAAAATCATCTACATTGTTCACATTCACATCTTCTTGCTCAACATTAATATTATTATCATCAACATTAACATTGGCATTATTCGCATCTACATTATCATTATCAACATTAACATTATCACCACCAACATTATTTTCATCTAACAACTCTGAGTCAATAGGATCTTCACTTGATTGTGGCACTTTTAAAAAAAAAACTTATCTAAAGCACCTTTTTGTGATTGAATGAATTGATCTTCTTTCTTTTTTTTTACTACGTTTTTCATGTCCAGATGGATACTTTCGAAACATATTAAACAAAATTGCACAAAATACTTGATAGAGAGGAAAAATATCACCAGATATAGCTTGTAATAAGCCAACGATTGAATTCGACAGATCTAAAATCGCTAATTGCTATGTATAATCCAATTCCATCATCAATCTCTGTAATCTGTGTAAAAAAAAAAACTATCAGTAATTAAAAATAAAATCAAATATGATATACTTATTAACTAAAGACTTCTATTCTAAGAGAGGAAGAGTGAAAACAGAAGAATCACAAAGAACTTGGCAATTTAATTAATTGGGATTAATCTAAAACTAACACTGGCCAAAGATAATCACCGAAAGCTAAGCAAGCTATTGAAGATAAAAATGCTTCAATGATTATCATACTGTAACACTCTCTCAGTCTCTCATATAACAACAACAAAAAAATCAAAAATCCCCATTTAAACATAATGTACATTGCATTTCCTCATTTTCAATTCTACCCAGTTCGGTATTAACCTCAATTTCAACAATATTGCACTAAAAATTCCCCAGAATAAAAAGTAAATAAAAACAATAAAATTAAACTTTCTAACCTGCTATAAATTGCAGAAGGCTTCATACACAACAAGCGTCGAATCAAAAGTGTTCTTCTGCTCCCACATTCCCACCCACAAAATTCAACAAAAAAAAGTTAATAAAAATCAGAAAAATGCACTTAAATTAAACAACAGGAAATAATTCAACATACCCAGATATTAAAATTTAACAAAAAGTCGTATCCGGGATTAATCCGAAGAGGTTTGTGATGAGTTTTTTTCCGATTACTAGCTATAGGCCTATAGCCTATACTCACAATACTTGCAAAGAACTTTGGAATTAAGATTATCTTAAGGGATTCTTTTTTATTAGTAAAATTGAAAGAGTAAATAAAATGCATATATAGGAAAAATTGGGAGATTAACAACGGTTTAATAATTAATTTCATCTTCAAACTGAAGATTTAACCGTTGAAATTATGAATTAATATAGGGAAAAATGATTTTGGGAGATGAAAAAATTTGAAAATTAATTGAATAATTGAAGAAAATGAAGAAGATAATAATAGAAAGTAAATAAGAAATATAGAGTTTAGAAGATATAGAGTTTTTTTGGAATTGAAATAGTAGATTGAAAAATTTTGGGGAAAAAAGGAATCTGAATTTTTGGGCGGAGCTTTCTAGAGGAAGACTACTGACTACATTCAATGAATCAATATATTT